CGGCCCAAACTTGATTATTTAGCTTACCAAAAGAGAAAAGTTTATGTCACAAGCCAAAAGACTACCTTCGAGAGAAAAATTATGCCCTATTGCTCGATCGCCATACATCAATATATCTTACCTGTGTTTTCGAGTGCGCACCCTCCAGTACATATTCATTTATGGGGTTACTGTAGTTGACAGATGATCGCCGCTTTACATGCGTCGGGGACACCAAGACAAAATCGGCAAATTTCCACATCTAAACAATGCTTTTGCATTTTAGGTCAAACCTGAAGTAATACACTACTTCTCGTCCACGATGAAGTCAGAATTAAATTTTGACTGGCTTCAACATCCAGCCCATCTGAACCAGCGACATGGGGGCCATAATACTGCCTAAAAATTAAGGTCACTAAATCCGAATACCATAAGGAACCAGGATTTCTGTCATCCCATATTTGAACGCTATTATCCCAGCTTGCAGACACAAAAATATGGCTATATGCCACATCAAATTCGCCTCTTGGGTGGTATCTTAAGGCAGTGATACGACTAGTATGGTAATTACAGTGCCTTTTCAGACCTGTCTTGGCGCTATGGAAGGCACTAAATATGAATCGATAAACATTACCTCGCTTTCAGGTCAAGAAGTCGAGCTTTATTAAGAAAGTCGTACACTTTAATGACTGTATCAGTTCCTCCCGTTACAAACCGTGAGTCATCAGTCGCAAGGGAGATGCACAAAATTTCATTTGGCTCGGGATTTTCATCCGACACTTTGTTAAATTCACAGGGAATTGCCGATTCATACCATTCAAAAATGAGACTTTTCGCTCCAGTTCCCGCAAAACAATTCCACAACCGAACGTATCCGGAAGAATCTGAACCTGTAGACGACTAATTTGTCCTTACACACGGCTAGCAAGTGTTGATTATGTTTGGACTTGGATGCCTTGTGGACCGAGGTAAAAGCAAGTGCATTGCAGGGCATCTTTTCACCAGGGGCCTTCAATCGCAACGCAGATGCCCTGTTAGATTTATCTTCCATAAAAAACATCTATCCGACTATAAGCCGCCTTACATGCACACATACCCGAATGACACCACTCGACATAGCGACCACAAAACAACTGCGGTCTGGAGCGATTTTAATTTCAAGTGCTTCATCTTCGATTTCACTAAAGAACAGATGGGCAGTAATTGTCATTACTATTGTGCTTCAAATTTTAAGTTGCTTAAGTAATTTAGACCACTGTCTTCCTCAGATCTGTGCATTTGTTCCTCCCTCAAAATATTTGCATTATTTATGGTTGGGATTTTTTTGGTTGGCTGCTCCTCATCAGAAAGCTCACAAAGACTACTGTGATAAGAAGAAAGGTCTGATATCTCGTCATCGTCCGTCACTTGCATGTTACCAAACCCTCGCGATAATAGGTTTTTACGAAGCGATCTGAAGGTCAATCCAGTTTGCCGGTCATTGATGGTCAACAAATTCCACTCACACGAAATAGTATATTCAATACTCTAAAAAGTTTCAAAGTTATAATGCCGTATCAGCTGAAATATTAATTAAGATGAATATATCTTATAACTTCTTGGTTCTAAATCTGGGGGTTAGTTAGCAAAATTAGAAAAAAGCACCACCCGTATATTTTTGGAGTTTCCGTGCGCGTTTTCCTACCAAAACTCGTTGTTTTGTCGGTAAAACGTTTTCCTGGCTAGCAGCTCGTGGTACTTTAATCAATATAAATGTTTATAATATTCTTATAACATGTATTCTCAACAGAACACGTCGTCTTTACATGGGTGTTTTGTTTTATTTAGTCATCATATGGGTGATATTATAAGTAATAATAGTCTTTCGAAAGCCACTTAATATTACTTCGCATTATCGAACAATGCTCTGAACCCTACAACGCACAGTCCTCATAGTGAGTGGTTCGCAAGCACTGTAGGGAAGAAGTGTTCCTAGCGATGGTTTGATCATCGATGATGCACGTCGTGGATCCCCATATCT